TTACATTCATACTACTGGTTACCAATGACTGGCCTCATCTTCTCCAGTTTACGGTTACATTATGGTGTTGTCCATTCCTTTTTCTCTCTCACTCTTTTTAAGCACACCTCTTGCAGCCATACAGTTGACTGACACTCTTCTCTTTGTCATCTGCTCTTAATCCGTTCATCAACTCTTATCTTTTCTCTTTTCCCCTTCAGGGAGCAGCTATGCTCGGTATGCTCCGTAATTATATAGCGCCTTTCTAGTCTTTTCGACCACTCAAAGTGATTTTACACTACATCTGCATTCACCATTCATACACTGAGCGCTCAAACAGAAACTAACATTCACACACATTCATACACTGGTGGAACAGCCACCAGGGGCAATTCGGGGTTCAGTAACAGATATGCAGCCTGGAGGAGCCAGGGATTGAACAGCCGACCTTCCGATTAACGGGCAACCCGCTCTACCCCCTGAGCCTCTATGTGTTGATAGTGTTGCACATTGTTGCTGCACTGTCCTTCTTAATCCTTCATCCGTGCAGCCAATATTGGGCGTCTCCATCACTCCTTATTTCTATCATCTTCTTTTCTGCACATGTAGCCAGTGTCCCTACTGTAAAGATTATACTCTCCTCCTTGTTGCTTCCTTTTTTACACACTTCATTTTTTTTGTAGCGCTCTTACTTCTCATAAGATGTCTTCTTTCTTTTTATCTTTAGCTCCTGTTGTTGCAGCACACAACACTACCACGCCTCTCTTTCTGTCCACTCTCCTTACGTTAACCTTCAAGCTTCTATTCCTATGGCTGCCTCTACTTCCCTCCTCGCTCTTCCCTTCCATCTGATTGCTTGTTAGTTGGTATGCAGGCTAGGACCCCCATTGTGCGTTCTTGCCTGTCAGCACTCTCTTTTTCCATCTCCCTCCCCACCTCGCTCTCTCTCTCTCTTTTTTCTCTTTCCAACTCCTGGTGTCCACTGTTTCTATCACTAAAAAAAAACACCACAAAGAAAAAGAGAGCACAGGACAGGGCCTGTTGAAGGAAAGAATTAAGAAAGAATATAACACCTTGGAGATATAAAGGGCTGGAAGGGAGAGGAAAAGAGAGGAAAATAGGGGAGGGGCTACGGCGACAATAATATATGGATGGAGTTCTATGAAGGTGTAAGCTTGCTAGCAGAATGACAAATGGGTCTCGAGTGACAGAGTATTATATTAAAAAGTAAATTGATATGCAAATGTGGAGTGTGTGGCTTTGGAGGACAGGGATAGCTTGTTGTCCTCAGTGAAGTGGAACAGAGAGAGGCAGCGAGAAAGGTGAGAACCCGGGTGTGATAGTGATATCGCAGTCCATTAAAGTGTGTGTTTTTGCGTGATTGGAGAAGGTATGTGTGCTTTGAATCTGCATGTATATACAGCTGTGTGTGTGTGTGTGTGTGTGTGTGTGTGTGTGTGTGTGTGTGTGTGTGTGTGTGTGTGTGTGTGAGATGTGTATAGTGCAGTTGGATGGTAGCTAAATGGAACAATGATTTCCCCCACAGTGACAGATAGTGCTAACTTCACACTGCAGTACAGCAGTATAAAGAAGCAGCTTGTGGCAATGCAGGAGGACTACTGTATCTCATTATAAAGTCTGTTCCAGCTCAAGAGTCTATGAATGCTCATATTGTAAAGTAAAAGCCTGCGGCATCCAGATCACTAGCAGACAATTACCCACTCAACAATCTACATGGTGACCATAACCATGTTTTCTGTCATCATATAAATACAATCATAAAAACATCATGGAATATGCCAATTATACAACTATATCTCCTACAAAATATGCATATATATTTACCTCAATAGGTTTTAGAGGAAACGTGTGTAGTTGCCTTGATATGAAGCACTGATAATATTTAGGAAACATGCAATTCCTGTACAGCTGGTGTACACAGCACAGGACTTTAAATTACAGAGACCGTGTCCCCCTGTTGTTAGGCTAAGACTAACAAGTAAGTAAGTGACGGACAAAACAGGCACACACAGGAATGAAGATTTAAAATGAAAATGGAGTACTTAAACTCAAATAAATGTAAATATGTACTTCTGGAATATCAGTAATGAGTGCAATGTTTGGATGAGTGGACTGTTGAGATGAGTGCGAACAAAACACAAAACCTAAATGTAAACTTAAGTAAATTAGCACATGGAGGCCTGGAAAGAAAAAGAAGAGTGGGATGTTAGTCGTGAATCCACTTAAATGGACTGAGGCCCAAAAATTCTCTACGTAATGGTGCCTGAACTGGAAACTGAAACTGTCTGAAACTAAACAGAACAACTCCAGAGAGATAAAATGTTAATCATGCTTTAGACAACAGTAGCGGATATTCCAGGGAAAGTGAATCTTTTGCAGATACGTTAAATGTAAAAGTTTCCTCTTATGTTGATTTAAAACATAATTCGGGCAGCATTGTTTTTCCCACATATTTGCTTGCAAATAACTTGTTTATAAACACGTTTGATTCCCAACATGTGTTTATTAGAAATTATATGAAGAAGCGGAAAATACATGATTAAAATATTGCTTTAGCCAGCAAACAAGAAGTTGGTATGACGCTGATCTGCTAGATATTGATCAGGAAATCTTCTCAATATGAGTTTTTAGAGTTAATTTTATTTATTTATTTATTTGATTGGGACAGTACATGTTAATGAACAAACATGGAATACATGCATGTAAACATGTCGGATTGTAGCTACAAGATAATTTCCATCCGTAGTCCCACAGGCTATGAGAATATATGTGACAAAAATTGGGAAAAGTGGACTATCTACACACAAGCAGCCTAATTGTTTAAACATGGAATAACTGCAAATGAGAATAATGCATACAAATGTATGATTACCCTATGACAACTATTTGTTCCGTTATGTTCTTTTTGTACTACTGCCACATGTTACCAGTTTAAAATGTTAAGTATTAAAAAACTGCGGCATCAGAAAATGGCTTCCACATTGTTCTCCAGAGTCCAGTTCCAGAGCCTCTAATAGATGAATTAAAGGTCAGTTGCAGGTAATAAATAAAATATCTATCTCACACACACACACACACACACACACACACACACACACACACACACACACACACACAGAGACAGCTGTTGGGGGGAAACAAAAGCCATATCCATGTCAGGTTTTGTGCCATGTTTAAGACTGCAGCGCTAATGATTCATGACACTTCAAACTGGAGAGGAGAAATGAGTTGCTCTGTAATTACTATGGAAATGTGTTCATTTCCCATCAAACACACACACATACACACACATAGACATCCAGCAGTGATAGGGAAGTGTTTTGAATGTGGGTGTTGGGGTTTTGCAGAACTACACGTGTGTGTGTGTGTGTGTGCGTGCACACCCCCCTTGGGATTATCACAGTTGGAGCAGAGGTGTGACCTATGTCCCCATTTCCCATATGTTCTAAACACATGCCCCAAAGCGCTGATCGTCTGTGTGAGTGTGTGTCAAGGGGGTAATGATAGTCCCTTGGTGTTTGACTGGCTTGAGCCCAGCTGATAACCAGGTGGGGCCCCAACTCCCCTTTCATAAGAACATTATGCCCCCTCCTCTTTATCCCCAAATACCAGCAACCAGTCTCTACCCTCGTGTGTGTCTGTGTGTGTGTATTCCCAAGATAGTATATTGATGTCTGGGTTATGCCATGCATTCAGGTGTGTAAAATCAACACAAGGATTAAATACCAAATGACTGAGATGTACTGAGCCTAGTTAGACCCCACCTTTCTCCCTCATTCTTAGTCGTAATGCTTCTTTTCCACTCAGAATTCTTCTTTTATTTTTTTGTCTGCTTTGTCTTTATGTAACTTCTCCTCTCTGTTTTCTTTATTAAATCTCTGCTTGCTATTTCTTTCAGTCTCCCTTTCTCCTTTGTCCTCCTCCTCTCTGCTTCTCCAAATCACATAGAGTCTTTGCTGCTGATTCCCAGTTACTCTTGGCTGCAAGCCCAAATCAATTTATCTTCACGATGGACAGACATACTGATTGGTTGCTGCTTTACCTGCATGACACTCAAGGAGGATGGGATAAGAAGGGAAAAGGGAGATGAAAGGAGGCCATGTAGTATTTATGTTGTGCTTAGTACCTCGTTACATGAAACTGCTTTTACATTTTATGTTTTCTGTCCTAAAATCTGCTGAATTTAAAAGAGCCGTTAATCTCAGAGACAGTGTTATGTGTTATTAAGGCTGTTAAACACAGTTTTGGAAAGAAAGTCCGCTGACGCAAAAATATGACACTCCCAACATCCCACAAGAACACACACACTAAAAAGCATCCCCCTGTGAGGTCTGTAAAACAGAATAAGTTTAACACTTCCTCTCAGCTGGACGGCAGGATTGAGTTGATCAATTCGTCAATATTTTGTCTTGATCATTGGACTGACCAACGCCGCAGGGTGTGGGCATGTGTGCACAGTGGGGTGGGAAGAGGGCACTGATGTGTGCATTTGTGTGTGTGACCTATGGTAATATTTAAGGCAGTGGTTAACGACCAGAGGGGTCCATAGATAAGAATGAGAATAAAGAGGAGTGCTTTATGCGTCCATCTGCCTCTGAGACAGACAGACACACACACACACACACACACACACACACACACTCTGCATAACAGCTTAGAGGGAAGTGTGGAACTGACAGGCAGAAGCATAAAAAAACAAGAATAGTTTGTTTTATTTTCCACCAGGCTTATCTTATACAGAGGGCTGGGTGTGTGGAGACAAAAGAAAATATTTAGTTGTTCATACACACAGCGTAGCAGGGGGGTTTCCTGGAAATATCATAGATTTAATATATGCACCTGTGTGCAATTGCACAATGCACATATGCACCCAAGGGAATGTTATCTTCCACAGACATGCTGTAATGTTACATTAGTTTATGTGTGGTGGGAAAAGAGTCTATACTGTGTATACAGGTTTATATGCAGGAAAATAATCCAACTGCACATATCTTTTTCAGGCACTGTGGATATATCAAAGCCAAGCAGGACCCTGATGAAGAGAAGATGCAGTTCCAACATGGCCGAGGTAAAGACACAAACATATATACTGTACACACATACTAATGTCTGTATGTTTATTGCTATCAAAATGGAAACGTTTCAGTTTATTATGTGACATACTGAAATTAATTTTAAGTATTAACTAAAGTTATAGCATGATGCATACAAATACATTTAAAAAATACATCTTTGAGTTTGACAAATAAAAAAAAATTTGTTCTTATGCAAGAACCCCCATACACAGACATAACATGTCTTTAAACCACACTTCACACCCACCTGCAATGAATCACATCACTCCCTAAATGTATAACTATAAACAAAAGACAGGATGAATATTATATCACTTTGAAAAATACTCCAAAGTGACAACAACCTGAAAATCTTTATTTCTTCACATACAACTTTGTGGCACACCTTCAAATGAATCATAAGCACTGAAACTGTTAAGTCTCCAAATTTGTAGCATTCCCAGCTGAATAATCCACATTGTTTCACACTATCTTGCACAAATGTTTGCTGGCAGAGACAAGCTCCTTATGGGTTCCTGTTAAAATTATGAGTCATTTTAACACCATTGCTAACAAAGTAGTTATGTGTTTAATTATGTAATAATTTGTAATGTCATTCAACCAGAAACCCACGCTCAAGCTATTTCAACATGAATTCACACTACTGAAATGTTTAAGTACAGTGTCTGCTGCTTCTTCCCTAGAGGGATTAATAACCTATTAATACTATTAATTTACCTGCAAAAGCTGGCTATATATGAGTACAGTGAGCATTTCTCTTTTTTATTTATCTTTCCCTATTTCTCCACTTTTCCACTCATCCAGTCAAGCTTCCAGGCAGCAGGACCTACATCCATCCTCACACCTATGAAGACCCCAACCAGGCTGTCAGGGACTTTGCCAAAGAGATTGATGCTTCCAATATTCGCATAGAGAGAGTCATTGGAGCTGGTGAGTTGGCAGTAAAACAGCAGTAGACTATATTAATAAGGACAGTAAATTATTTATTTGACAGAATTCAAAATACTTTAACTATGGTTGATTTTTAGGGATTCAACTGAGTCATGTCAGCATGTATGAATATTTTTCCTTATTTGTGGCAAAGTAAAGTTAACATTGAAGTAGCAACTGTAAAATGAAATAATTTAGTTTTTTTTAAATATCTCAATGCAATTTAGAGTCATTAGTAATGACAATGTTAGAGTAACTAGATTTATATATATATATAACAAAAATACAGATAAGAGCTCAGATATTCATCAGTTGTACAAGCTCTTATCTTACATATAATTTAATCATGGCTTTTTGGTCTGTGTGTGTGTGCATGTAGGAGAGTTTGGGGAGGTGTGCAGTGGTCGGTTGCGTGTGCAGGGAAAGAGAGAGATCTACGTGGCCATCAAAAGTCTGAAGGCAGGATACTCTGACAAACAGAGGAGGGACTTCCTGTCTGAGGCGTCCATCATGGGACAGTTTGACCACCCGAACATCATCAGGCTGGAGGGTGTCGTCACAAGATGTGAGTGTCGAACAAAATATTTACTTCATCCTGCGTGTACGGGTGATTGATGTGTTTGTCTAACCATACACTGTAGTAAATGTGTGTGTCTGTCACATACCTGTGTGAGACGCAGCAGTGCTGCTGGTGACATAAACAGGACTTGACCCTGGAAAAGATAAAGGCTCCATTACCATGGTAACACACTGATGACGCATGGCGGAGTGCATGTGAACGGCGACTGTCCGCCTCTCAAACGGCTACTTGTTTACTTCACATGATCGTGTTAGGCAATTAGAGCGAGTGTGTGTGTTCATAGACACGGGTCTGGTTCAACAAGATGGCTGATGTGTTATTGCTGTGCCTCGCCCTCTCAATCACACTGTCTCTTTCCCCCTGTCCATCTATCTCTCTCTCGTCTTATATCTCACGCTCCTGCTTTCTCTCTCAGTCATTGTCTGTCTTGTCTTCTCCTTCAATTGTTCCCCATTTCTCTCCCTTTTTCTCTCAGTCTCCTCTCCTGTCCCTCTACCACTGTCTCTTTCTCTTTGTAGCCCTCAGAATCCGTCAAAACTAAGCCAGCTAAAATTGAAAACACATTTTTTCCCCTAGACAAAATTTGAAAGGAAACACCAAAACTTTCTCCGGGTATGCGTGCCTTTATGACCCAACAGTTATCACAAACAAAATGCAAAGCTTTTTTTTGCGTAGCGTGGTTCTTCTCATGATTGGTGAAATGGTGTAACAATGGCAAATGTCAAGTAGAGTTTACATTATAATCATCATTGACCAGTACTGACCATAAATAAACTTGTTGTGAGAAAAAAAGGTTTAGGTTTAATTGTTTTATTTTGTCCTGATAAAGCTAAATTATTTCATTTATGACGTCATCTACTTCCGCATGTACTGACTTGATGGGCTGGTTTCACTCAGCTTCCATTGGAATAAATTACTTTCAATTTTGGCTAATCCAACAATGTGTGATGTTGTGTATATAGTGTATGTGTATGCCACTGCTCTGTTCCTCTTCTGCTATGACACCGTGTTAGAGATCTACAGACAAGCAAAAGAAGTAGAGGGAGACACTTGCTACAAAGAAACAGAATTGTAAACATGCGGCATACAAATAACCACCCCCCACCCCACTCCCCCTTTCCCTCTGTCACACACACAAAGATCTTCAGTCCATCGCACAACGGTGCTCAGTGGCACTTAGACTAACAATAAAAGAGCAAATGCATATGCATAGGCTTTTATCATGAATATTAATAATTCATAAAGTTAATTGGATGTGTTTTTAGCTTCATGAATATTCAGCAGCATGCATACTAAGAATGAGACCCCACTGAATTTCTTATTCATTTCCTCTCACTCTGTCATTCTTTCTCTCTCTCATTGTCTAAATAATGCTTGACGTTAGCTGTGACCTTTGGTTAGGAAGCTTGAGGCAGTTTGTAGAAGTACTACAGCAACAAACTAAACAAATGTGGGTTTTTTATTATTATTCTGACAGGCAGACATAATTATGGGGCTTTATTTCTTCACACACTATTCTGATTTAAAATACCAGAATAAATTCAAGAATTATTAAACAAATCCCTGAACCTTCGTGACATAGGACAATAGCGGAGTTGACAATAGAAACAGCTAAAGAGCAGAACTCTGGCTTGACGAGCACCTTACTTAAACACAATAATGTGCGGTTTACTTTGCTGTGCTCAATGATTATAAAAATATGTTCTTGCATGTTGTTTTGGGGTGTGTGGATGTGACTACTTTTGTCTACTTTTCGATGTGTTTCTCAGTGCCTCTCTTCTCACCTGTCTTCACGGCACATTGAGAAGCTGATAGAGCCACTCAGAAACAAATCTCACTAGCGGAGCAGTAATTTCACAGGTCACAGCCCAAGGTGCGTATCTGCGAGTGAGGGGGTGAGAGTTGAGATGGGTCAATAATTCCTTCAGGCCTTTTTCTCAAACACCAGCTGGTCCCTTCACACTGCCCTCAGTCTAATCAGGCAGGCTGACCCTGACTGCTCTGGGCTCAGGTGTGTTGGATTGGTTTGTGTAGGTGTTAGTAGTGGAGTCAGCAGGAGTACTATTGGTTGGAGTAGTACCACTGAGGTGTCAGCAGAAGCAGCAGTGGTAACAATATTTAAAGCAGTAGTAATGATACTGCAGCAATAGCAAACATTTACTGTGAGGATATCAGCCACTCTAGTATTTGCCTGGTGCTAGGAGACTGGAGTCAGCATAGCATAAATACTGTAAACAGGGGGAAACAGCTATCCTGTCTTTGTCTCAACTATCAGTTGGTCAGAAAACATTTCAGCTCTACAACGTAACAATACAGGAATACACACACGAAAATGGTGCCTATGCCCAAGCACATGGATGTATTCACATCAGAGTCAAATGTAAAGTTTGTGGTGGGAGAAAGGCCAAAAGTCTGGGGTGTTTTGCCATTTACTTGTCCACAATTGACTAGTTATTTTTGCAATTATCAAAATACTTAATAATGGACTTATGTTTCAGCTCTACAGTGTAACAGCACAGGAAGCAGGAATGCTAGTAATATTAGTGGTATAAGTGTTCTTGTTGATGTTGCAGAAATTGCAGACTTTGTCGTAGCTGTTATAATCAGATATAGTCTTACAAGTACCACGGTCAGCAGTAGTAGGTGGCAGTTGTGTTAGTACTAATGGTTGTAATGGTATTTATTGTAATTTTGCACAGTTGTATTTTGTATTGGGTGTGTGGATGAGTTGGCTCTGCATTTTCCTCCATTCTTCGTGTGTGTGTTCTCTCCGCTTAAAACCACATAAGCCTTCAGCCCCTGCCGTGTGCCACTTTAATAGCCTACTCTGCTGTCTGCCACCTGATTGTTGCTATTGTCATGCTAATAAGAGCGCCACATGCAGGAAAAGAGAAAAAAATAGATTTTTCTTTTCTCTATCTGTCTCTCTACACATCAGGAAAGTACATCAATCTGCCACCCCCCCATCTCCTTATCTTCTCTTCATCTCCCCGTTCCTCATTTTATCCATCCGTCCTTTATGTTTTACAATCACTGCAACAATCGGCTCATTTGGAAAACCCTCAATTATCGAGCTCCATCTCATCTGCCCACATCGCGCGCGCACACACACACACACAGACACACACATAAAAAAGGCTGCTCTACAAAGGTGCTGTTAAATCGGCAAAACCACACGTCTTTTCCACCCGTCTTCTGTTTGAAGAAACTAGTGATTAGTTTTAACTGTGTGTCTTTGTGCTCTGAACAATAAGTATTTCAATGTTTCCTGTCAGAGTGTTTGAAATTATTCAGGGTTTTGAATATGTATGCAGATGTGGAGATTGGACAAATGAGGAAGAGGGGAAACAGGAGGAGGGGAGCGTGGAGGGGAGCGTGGAGAGAAGGTGACGACGGGTGCGGAATGGAGGGAAGAAAGGGGGGATAGATGGATGAATGAGATAGGATACAAGAGCGAGGAAATGAGAGAAGATGGGGCTTGAGAACAAATGAGGGCAACGGGGAAAGATGTGCGAAGAGATTCGAGGAAAAGAGGGGTTGGACCGACGAGAGGAGAGATGACGAAGAGACAAATGTGAGGAAATGAGAGAAGATGAGAAAGCCAAGAGGTAGGAGGAGAGGTGAAGAGCGGAGTGGAGATAAGGTTATTGAGTTTCTGTCTCTCTGCTTCTCCGCACCCCCTCACATGGACCTTCCCAGAACAGAGATCTGTTCTGTGTTAAAAGCACTGTATCACTTAGTTTGGACCCTTAACATTAATCAATACAGCAGTTATTTCATTTTCTCGTTTGTACCTTGGGCCGTCTCATTCAATATTGCGGTAATGTGGCCCACTGGCGCACACACAGATAGCCACTCATAATGTAATTGTTTGGATGTATACAGACTCTATCACTTTCGTTTACACTCACACCGACACACACAGAAACTCATAATGTAATTTCCCAGATATACTGTATACACATTGTCTCTATCACTTTCATATACACACACACACAAATCCTTGTGTCACTATCTTCGTGGGTACCCGTCATTGACATAATGCATTCCCAAGCCCCTTATCCCTAACCTTAACCATCACAACTAAAAGCCCTTTAATCTTGTGGGGTCCAGCATTTTGGTCCCAATTCAAATTCTCACACACACACACACACACACACACACACACACACACACACACACACACACACACAGCTATCACTAGCCATCATCTGGACACCTGCCATACAGAATTATCCCTGAAACTCTGAAAGATAGCAGAGGTTAGCAATTAAACCGACCACACGCACTCAACGCTGCACGTTAGCTTGTTTCGTCTGGTGTCAGCATAAACACACACTCGATGATACAATGAATCCGAATCACTTCTTGTTGCGCCTTCATCACATGCCATCCACATATCAAATACACACACACACACACACACACACATTCACAGGCTAGATGGGATCCTCTCCAGCTTGTCATGGAGCTCCTCTACGCCAAACGTTCACCAGCGCTCCTCAATTTCCTCCTGAAAGGACATAATTAACTAATCACATTCATATTCATTGAAATTTATTGCCTTTCTTCGCCTTCAGAAATAACACAGTCGTTTGCGGAGCTAAAAACACCTCCCAGTGTATGGATGTGTGTGTGTGTGTGTAGATTGGGTATTGATGTTCTGCCAGGTGGAGTGTGTTATTGAATGGATCAGAGAGGAGTTTGCTCTTTTTTACAGCTCTTCATTAGGTGAAAGTAGAAAATGTTGTCTCTGCTCTCCTCAGGATAAAGCTAGGATCATTTAGGACTCACGTGTGTGTGTGTGTGTGTGTGTGCGTGCGTGCGTGTGTGCATCTTATCTGGTCTCACGATTCAATTTGATTACGATTATCAGGTCAACGTTTCGTTTCGATTCCTCGTTGCATCACCTTAAGTGTGGGAATTTCTAGGCACCTCATTACGATTACGCTACGATGCGATTGTAAAACAAATATGATAAAAATGTATTGTTCTCACTGTGTGACTACTTGGTACTTTTAAAGCAAAGTATTTAACAATCCAAACAAGTAGGTAGTAATGAAGTGCAGATATCTAATGTTACTTCATATAAATGTAGCTAACATAGCACAGCATTATTACATTATTACAGCGTTATTACTGACCTCTGCTGCTGCTATTTTATTTCTGATGCTGCTGTTATTAGTATAGAGTCAGATGGGGGTTGAACTACGCACTTAACAATCTTGTCTTGTAAGTTGATTATCTTGTATTGAGCACCATGGGCCTTGAGAAAAGGCATTGGGTTCATTGTGTAACGTTACTCGATATGTGAATGAATGACAACAAATGAAATTGAACTAGCAGCCAAAAAGAGCTTCCAGACCGCAGTCTTAAGAGATATTAGCTAACTTTAGCGTTAACTGCCTTAACTTATCCAGCAGTTGGAAAACAACAGACAGACTTTAATAAATGGACACACAATGACCTATACTGTACATTTACTGCTAGACTGAAGCGTAGCGCTCATCTTTTCCTCTGCTCGGCTGCTTTCACTGTCAGTTCCGCCTTTTTCGTTCCATCAACATTACCTTATCAATTAACCTCTTGCTAATCAATTATTGACATTTGTGAATCGATTCATAATCGTCCAAGTCCAAATCACGATGCATCTAAAAATCTATTATTTTCCACACCCCTAGTGAGTGTGTGTGTGTGTGTGTGTGTGTGTGTGTGTGTGTGTGTGTGTGTGTGTGTGTGTGCGCGTGCGCGTACATGCCAAGCTTACGTGGTCCTCTAAGCCGAGATAACAGGACAAATGTGTTTCATTGTGCTTTTCTCTCTTGACCACATCTAACACCGTGGGCCTGAAGGTAATATTGTCCCTCACTGGTCACATACATGGGCTTACACACACACACACACACACACACACACACACATGTAGCACACATATAAACACACACTCAGAACATAATTGGTTTTCAGAGGGAGGTTTTCATAGCTCTTTTCCATTTCATGGCTGTTTTCTTTGTAGACTATGGATGTCTGTCTGTTCTGTATGGATACACACAGAATAATACATGCATTCAAATACACAGGGTCTATAATCTGAGACACAATTAAACACACACACACACACACACACACACACACACACCTCTACTAGGCGGACAGAAGGCTGTGAGGAGTCAGACCTCCTTTCAGTCAGGATCAATCCCATCAACTGTTTTATCTGTGGCTGTGAATCACACACACAAAAGCACTTATGCTCTCCACCTCTGATCAGAGCTGAAATCTGGCGGTCATCATCGTGCTGTCCCTCCCCACTTGCCATGCCATGAACCAGCTCTCTCTCTCTCTCACACACACACACACACACACACAGAGCGACACACCACACAAAACACAAACCCCGTGTGGAGATAAATGTGACCAGCAGTCCTCACCCCCAGCAGAAGAAAATCCAATTCTCTTTCACTTTTATCCCTGAGACTAATGTTACTGTCAAAGAAGACACCACCACCAGAGACCAGGCGACTCTGTTTGTGTGTGTGTGTGTGTGTGTGTGTGTGTGTGTGTGTGTGTTTGGTGCAGTGAGATAGTGAATTCATTTAAGGTGATGTATTGCTGTCTTTACCTACTATCTCACTGTAGGCCTCGGTGGTGTTGTTCATGCCTTTCCATGACAAGCTTTTGACCCCTCCTCTTCCTCTTCTCTCCTTTCCTCCTCCCATCTTTCCTTCCCCTCTTATCTTTTAACCCTTTGCTTCTTTTGTGCAATTCATGTTTTGCCTTTACACTCCTTCATCTTTTATATTAGTTATCATTTCTTTCCCTGTTTAACTTTTTCTTTCAATTCATTTTCAATTTCAACTTTTAATTCATTGAAGCTTTATAGGCATGACACAAGTAGTTACAAATAACAGTTAAATAAAAATAGAAATACTCACAATGAGAAAATTGTCTGTATTACAGTTTGTAGAAAGAGTTTCACTCTGCCCTTTCCTTAGAATCTTGGAAGAGAAGGAAAGAGTGTGATTTCGGGAACATGTTGGTGTTCTTCATGAAAATATCCTATAAACAGACTATCACTGCCTTCACTTCTACAGTTTCTGTATCCCTCTTGTGCTGTCTTTATCTCTCCCCCAGGTCTTTTCCCAACATCTCTGAGCTCTGTTTGGGGAAATGTGACCTATTCATCACAACTGACATAGTCTGTGTTTATAAGCTACACGCACATACAAACACACACACACGCACACCACCACCATTTGCACTGCACATTGCATGTTTGTTTGTGATTGGCAAACACGCGCACATGTGCGTACATGTGATTGCAGGTACTTTGTTAATCATTTGTAAGCCCCACCAGATGCCATGCATGGGACCATAGTGCGTAGGGCCTGTCAGTCATCCATCGCTATATCGCACAAACATGCACACAGACACACACTCATGCACGTGCAGGTGCATAGCGATCCAACCACAACCCCCTTCCCCTTGAGGCTGATTAGTATTCATGAGATCTCAAGAGGCCCCCTTATACACACACACACACACACACACACACACGCACACACATATTTTGGTGGATTGGTCCATTCTAATTATCTCCTGGCGTTTATGGAGTGGGCTGATTAGAAGCTGTCAGTGTGACTGATGACGACATGCCATGTTATCCCCTAGAGAGAGGCAGAGTGACAGAGAGGAAGGCTGGTCACAGCTGTGGACTCCACTACTTCTCTGTCCTCGACTCTTTATAGTTGGCGTCTTTCTTCCTTGTAATTCTGCCCCACTAACAGCTGCCTTGTTATGTGCCTCCGTAGGTAAGCCAGTGATGATCATAACAGAGTTCATGGAAAACGGATCTCTGGACACTTTCCTCAAGGTGAGTCGCAGCTCAGCTGGAAAGAACACAGCGCTCACATTTTCTCCAAGGTCAGGGCCACAAGTCTTTACAAAGGCCACATGGAAAATGATGTCCCAGGTGTAAAGAGTTTGAAATTGTAGTGTTCATTCCCCCAAATTGCTGTACTTGAGGACACATGCTTTTAAAAATATATAAAAAGGAAATTGTCTTTCATCTCTCAAAGCTGGAGAATTCAATCTATAAAAGCTTTACAAAGTCCACCATGGACTTAAGTTTAGTTGATCAAAAGCTTAAGTTAACAAGTATACTTTAAAACTAGCTGATTAAAGTTTCTAAATGTGTTTCTAAACCACATTAGCAGTTTAGCACAAACTAACATTATTCCTTAACAGATAAATGTGTGCAGCTAGGAATGACACATCTGGCAATTTTCAATATAAAAAAGGCGACACATCTTCACTAAATGGTCCAGTGAAAGTAATAGAATCATTTCCATCTGTAATTATAAATAGAGTCTTTTATATGTTGAGTTGAAGTGACTGAACAGTAAAAACAGTAAGGTAAAAGAGTGAAAGTCAAGAAGCTGCAAGAAACATGCCATCAGTATACAGTATGTACATGGAGGTAGGGATAGTAGGGGTAGTCATAATATATTCAGTATGCGTACACAGACACTGAACTTTTTCTTTAGTAATAATGGTCAGAGAAGTGGTTGAGATCAGAAACATTCAGATGGATGCGTGGCCTCCCCACACTTTCATCACATGATGTTTGATGCTGGGTTTATGAAATGCACTTAGTGTCCATATCCCAGAAAATGGCATCAGACTGCTGACAAATGGGTAATAAAACTGAGAAAGTGCATTGCTTTGTGTGCAACATTTGCTCTGTCAGGGGATTCAAAAGTGAACAGTTCACTTCAAATTGAAAGTAATATCACAAAAGGCATATGGTTGTTAAGAGTCAAGACAGCAACTGAGAAAAAACATTGAAAATCACCTCCAAAATGCCAAAGAGATTTAAGGGAAATCAGCTTCATCATGAATGGACAGAGGAATACAGTCAGCATAGACATTTAATATGCTGATGAAGTTTCTGAAAATAATCTCAGTACAGAGACTGGTTAGAAAAAAATACCGTTTGTAGAGCAAGTGATGGAGCACAGAGTTCGGGCAAGAGTATTACAAAAGTAAGTCCTGAAAAGCAGACTTTACTCAAGGTTATTACTGAATCTCTTATCAGTTAACATATTTAAAAATCAAAGGAACACTCTGGGGGTATTAATATATATTATAAAACATTATGTCAAGAGTTAGAAGAGCCAATCACTCAAACTGATGTTTTTAAAGAATTTGTTGTAAAAGCCATCCTCTTAAACATATCACAACCCTGTACATATATTATGTTTATTTAGGAAATCTTAAAATTATTTACACAAAAATTATGGATTTTTATTTAATGGCAGATGCAAAAGACAAGAATATAATGTTTTGATAAATGTGTGATTCATGATTCCTGTTCATACAAAATATGTGGCAAGAAGAAGCAAACGTGCAGTATTGATTTAGCTGTGGAGCCCCGAATTGGGTTTTTGCATACACTCAGCTGAATATCTTTTTGCAGCCCCGGTGTGTCACATTGAAAGTCCCCCTGATTCATATTCAGAGTTGTTTGTCAGCCAATAAAATCACTGCGGTTCTCCAAAGCCATTAAGCCTGTGATGATAGGCCCATCGCTAAATAGACACCAATCCCATCAGCAGCACTGAAGCAAAATGAAATGAAATCTGACAGATATAAAAATGGCTAAGGCATAGTGTCCTGAAACACAGATACACGCATGTTGTGTGTTACAGTATGTATTGTAATGAGGGTCATAAAGAGTGTCCACAGTGGCTCAATATAATTATGGAATCAGTTTTATGGGTTTTACAGCTGATCCGTGCTCCTGACATCCATATGTGTCTTTAATTATGCTGACCATTTATTAAGCAGCTGTCCCTAAGAAATAACAAAACCACCGTTCTGTCTGTTCCTCTCTTGGTCTCCTTGTTTCTATCTACAGTATCCTTTCCTTTATTACATTTCCCTTTTAGTTTTCTCATAAAGACTTAATATGCCAGAATATGCCAAAAAGTCCATCTTTCCATCTTCACCTTTCTCGTCTGTCTTCCTCATTTTCTAGTCCAACCTATCTGCCCTGCATTTGTCTCCTCTCTCTTTCCCTGCCCTGCCCACCCTCCCTCCTCCTTCCTGGCAATACAATGTGGTGGGCAGATTGATAGAGGAAGTCTGTAGGTTTGTTGGACAGTCCAATCAATCAGCATCTCACAAAACCACCGGCTAATTAACTTACCCCACAGCTGCCGAGGGAGAGAGAGAAAGAACGATAGTGGGGTCGGGGGGTGCACAGATGCAGAAAGATGAAGGAAAATAGATGGATAGATGGAGACTGAAACAAAGTAATGCAGAGTTCTTTCTCTCTCTCTCTGTCTGAGACAGAGACTGAGGAGGGACAGAGATGGATTGAGAGGACAAAGAGACAGAGGGAAGGAGGGATGATATGAAGTAGAGAGGGTGACTGATAACATGGATGGCTTTTTAACGGGGACCGTTGGCCCAGGGCAGAAATAATTGGCAGAGGAAGGTGAGCTGGACCGTCATCGATCAACAGGCTCTGCTCTCTGCCAAAGACAGCTCAAATCTGAAATCCAGTGAGCTCTGCTTTGGCACACAGTCAGTGTTAGAGATGAAAGTTTTGTCTGCTCTGTCAGATCCAATCCTCTGCAAGTACAATTATTTTTGTGATCCTCCAATAATCCACGGGTGGAGAAATTCATCTTTTTGTTTGCCACCCTCCAGAGAGAGGTCAAAGTACAGGGTTAGCAAGGGCCGGAAGGGATTCAGAGTCTTGCTCAAGGACACTTCAGAAGCGAATTGCTGCCATTATGGATGCTTCAATCCTGGCTCCAACCTTCATTTCCAGCTGAGGTGTTGAAGGCCCCAGTCCTAATAATTATGCCACCCTGCTGCAGCTTAATGTCAGCATTTACACTTTGCACTGTCTCCCTGTCTCTCCCTCCAGAAACATGACGGCCAGTTCACAGTGATCCAGCTGGTTGGCATGCTGCGTGGCATCGCCTCAGGTATGAAGTACCTGTCAGACATGAGCTACGTTCACAGAGACCTGGCAGCTCGAAACATCCTGGTCAACAGCAACCTGGTGTGTAAGGTGTCTGACTTTGGCCTGAGTCGAGTTCTGGAGGACGACCCAGAGGCTGCCTACACTACAAGGGTAAGACACACACTCACAGACTGTGGCTGTCATAAATAAATGTTATCTCCAATTACAGTCCATCTGCCCATTGACCTCTACATTGTTAGATTCAGTCCAAAACCAGAATGTATGAATGCATACACACATCAGCCTCCCCTTCATTTTTATGGGCCTATATTTAGTAAAATCAAAGAAGTCTTTGGTACAACACCATCCTCTCACAAAGTACAGAGAGACTGAAGAAACTCAAACGTCAGTGAGTTAAACCACTGTGGAGTAACTCATCTAAAATGCCCACAAGGAGATGGCATTATTCATATTCATAGGAAGTGTTGGGGATGTTATTTTTAATATGGCATTAGCATTGCCCTGGGAGGAGTGTATCAGCCACTGACTACTCTATTGCAATCACACACACACTCCTACTGATGTCAGGAGACCTAGATGGAGAGCTGCAGGCATGGGGGGGGGGGGGGGGGGGGGGGGGTTAAGGCAGAGATGGGGAAGAGACAGAGAGAGAGAGGAGTGGATATCAAATAAGACTGAGATAGAGGGAGGCGGAGAAGAGAGGGAAAATAAGGGAAGGCAGGGGAAGGATCCAGTGAGAGCAGTTAAGAGAAAAAAAAGAGAGGAGGGGGTAGGGGTGGACAGGGGCTGGTGGAAACAAAAGTACAGTGCCGAGTGACTTGGCAGCTTTGTCTTTTATTTGACTTTGACCAAGCAGAGATGGGAATGCTAGGTGGTGCAGAGGCAGCTGCCGCATGTTAAAAAGCTGAACCGAGCCCTATAGAGGTACGGTATGTTTTGTGTGTGTGTGTGTCTGTGTCAGACAGAGTGAGAGAGAAGACAGGGGTATCTTACTGCCTACTGTGTCTATACAGCGGGCTTTATGGAATCCTTTTGATCTGTGCATCAACCACAAAGGCAGGAGACGAAGGAAAGCAAAAAGAAATTCACTGCAAAAGAAAGTCAAGTGCAAGAGTAAACACTGGAGCAAAAGTAACACTACTGTATGTTGTGAGCACATTAGAGAGAGGAGCTGGTTTGTTAAGTTGGTGTTTTAATCTCACCTGCTTTGCTCTTAAAAGCAGCGGTGCACCAAACATGTCTGTAGCCACCTACTCTTGATTTATTATGGCCACAGTTTTACAATATTGACATGTTCAGTGTGCCAAGAATGTGCTGACCGTGTTCTGACCCATCTACAGGGAGGGAAGATCCCAATCAGATGGACTGCTCCAGAGGCCATAGCCTACAGGAAGTTCACCTCTGCCAGTGACGTGTGGAGTTACGGTATCGTCATGTGGGAGGTGATTTCATACGGAGAAAGACCCTACTGGGAGATGTCCAATCAGGATGTGAGTCACAAACACAAAGTCATTTACATGACTAAAAATTATTTTTCCTCAATCTTCAGCTCAATTCTTAACTATGAAACTGGATTTTCCTGCACATTTGCATTTCCCTCTTGTATCGATCGGAAAACTTGATATTTCATCCTCTCTCCCTGCAGGTGATTAAAGCAATAGACGAGGGCTACCGTCTTCCCGCTCCAATGGACTGTCCCGTGGTGCTGCACCAGCTCATGTTGGACTGTTGGGAGAAAGGACGCAGCGACAGGCCAAAGTTTGGACAGATTGTCACAATCCTGGACAAGCTCATCAGAAACCCCGCCAGCCTCAGAGAGCTGGCCAACAGCTCGGCATGGTTAGTGGGAAGAAAACTACAAAACTATAAATTAAAGCTGTAAATTCACTTTCACTGACACACGCGTAGTCTTGAGATACTTGGATTCGATTAGATGAAGGTACATGCAAGACATTATCACTGCCTTAGATCTACATTGTGAATGTAGTTTGTCAGTTTCGAAAATTGTGCAAAGTAGAAAATGTCATTTTTGTCAGTAAAATCACATTCTTATCTTTTCTCAGCAATGTAATATTTGTCAGTGAAAAGGTATAAATGTTACATTGTGGGTTGGCATATGCATAGTCTCGCACTCAGTTCAGACTCTCTGCATCCCCAGTCGCACACATCCATAGACTAGCATTATTTTTACAGTTCCCTTTCAAAGCAGACAGAAAACACTAATCCCAGCACAACGGAAAAGAACAACAACAGAAGCTCAAAAGCACTAACAAGAGCTTACACATTGCAGACGCAATGCTCTATGTGACTAAAACAGTCTCTTAAGCACGGGTCTTACTGACTGTGACATGGCCTTAATTGAAGCATGTACAATACAGCACTGTTTGTAAGTGCATATTGTACGTGAGTGCAGATGCAATTAGTCCTGCATATGCAAGGTATTTAGTAAGTTTGTAGGGGACAGTAAAGGGACCAATCATTAATAATACTTAATCACTAATGGCTAGGTTTAACATTTAAGGATTATGTTTTTTGTTCATAGTGGATTTGAGTCTGTCATGCTGCAGTTTTTGAAAAACGTAAGCTATTCTGTCCACATGCAGATCCAGCACCATGATTGAGCATTAATTTCCGCTTCAAGTGTGCTGCCTACAGTTTAAATTATTATGAATGCTCTAATAAGAGTTAGATTTAACAAAACTGTTATTTAGCCACTCCACAGGACAATAGTTCATAGAGTTGTGAGTGTGCTTTGTATCCCAGCAGGGAGGACCCGTCCACCCCAGAGTTCAGTGTGAGCACAGTGGATGAGTGGCTGGAGGCCATCAAGATGGGCCAGTATAAGGAGAACTTTTCCAGTGCTGGATATGTCAGCTTGGACTCAGTCCTCTACATCAGTGTCAGGTACAGACAGCTGGTGACTCAACCCAGTTAAAATGAAACTCTCGAAAGGTCAACATTGTCAGTACAAGATATTACTTTCCACTTGAGTGTCATTTGAAATCAAAGAAGGGGATTTACACAAGTATCTTGGACATGAAACCTCTGCAGCTGCTTGGCATTTGAAGGACAATGTAGAATTTCTCTAAAAGTGTCATTAATAGATAATATATTTGTTTTTTTTCTGTCTTCCTTGTAGTGAATTGGCAAAGATGGGTGTGTCTTTGGCGGGGCACCAGAAGAAGATTCTGTCCAGCGTGCAGAGCCTGCAGACCCAGGGGACACACGTTCAAGTATAACAGTTTCCACATAAACACACAGTGAGACAGAGCCAAAATGGATGCTCCTGTGAAGAGTTTCCACACTGAAAAGGAGCTGTAATGGATACTCTGTGCTTGGGCCTCCATTTAGTTTGAGACACACTGAGATGGAGACAACATGGACAATTGACTCCTTCACCCTCTCGCAGTTTCACCATTCTTCCCATCCTCAATGGGCACTACCGGCTTTAGCACTCAGAGTCCCAGCAAGACAACCACCATTACGGAGCAACAGAGAGACACATGTCTAACAGCAAGACCCATCCCAGACCATTTCACATCATATCAGCTCAACAAAAGCAGAAAAAAAAAAGATTTTTAACAAAAGAAAAGAGACAAAAAAACTAATTAGAGTATAATTATCTTCACTGTCTGTGAGGTGTACAGTTGGTTTTGATTGTCATTTTGTTTCTGTTTTGAGTTTTCACCTTGAAGAGTTTAAAAAGGGTCAGAAGATATGTATAGGTGTAGATATATGTTTATATGGGCTGTTGTCCCACAACCGTAGAGATGGACCTAACGTTTGCATTGGTGGTGAGGTTTATATCACTCAACGTTAATAGGAGTTATTACCTATGTATGGCCCCGTCCATTGCTCTCTGTATACAGAAAGCCAATGAATGAACTGAGATTCTGGATGACATGAATGTGTAGTGTGAGGGAAACAGAAAACCTGGACCTTTAGAGATAGAGAGTGATGTAGATTGTGCTAGCTCATGTAGGATGGAAGTATGATTCATTTAAATAGTGTATTTGACCTGGACAAGGGCTTCCCTAGCGACTGCTCTCAGAGACACTTCCATAGCAACTAGACCCAGTGCACGTTTGCTGTTCTGCTTGCACTTATGATGTAACTGAGTGCAAAGAAACAGCAAAAAAACTGCTTAAAGTGCAGTTAGGACAGATACATTTTTACTCTTCCATAACCGACTGTCTATTCCAAACAACATTGTTTATTTCAGCTGTTACAGTATGATGTTGGTGGGAATATTTCAGCCTAATAGTTTGCCTTCCCATGTTTCAGGTGTGTTGAGAAAGCTATATAGTGTTTTTTGTAGGGTAAAGGTGATGCCAAGGTCATGATAGAGTTGACACTGTTAAGAACGTGTAACTTGTTTTTCCAGTGTTGTGCCATGTACAGTAACCTTTAAAATGTCCATCTGGGCAACATACCACCATTCTTACTTCACTATTTCCTTTAATCAGTTCCTATGGCTGGATGGTAACACAAGTCCAGTCACAGTAATTACAGTGTTTTGTGAAGTCTGCTTGATGAAAAGGAACATTGGAATGGACCCTTTTTTTTTAGCAAGATGAAGTATTATGCAGTGTTGATTTTCAGCTGTGCCACCACAAGAGGATAAATTTCATTTAAAAGAAGATGATTTGTGTCTTGTACTCTCTCACTTTATTGTTATCAGTCATGCCAACCAATTTTAAGCATCCCTAGTTTCAAACCAGTACCCATAAGACAAATTTACAAAACAATGTTTACAGTAAAAAGCAAATTAATTGGTTTGTTGGTTTTTCCTTATTAGAAGGAAACTGCTGCTGATCACATTAGTAACAAGGTTATATATGATGGGACCATCTTTGTGTGCACTGCATTAATGGTACTGAACCTGCTTTAGTTTATTCCCAAACCCAGTTTTAATATATGTGGTACTCTATAGGACCAACAGTGGCATAAAGTACAGTATATATGATTGTATCATAGTGTAAAATATGTACAGTGTTGATTTCCAATGTTAGAATGTTTGTAATGATAACGATGATGATGACTATGATGTACTTTTATTGTGAAACAGAGATTTCTGAAGTACACATTCAGGAGCGGGTCATGCAGGAGAAAAGCTGAAGGGAGGTGATTTGTTGGTCTGAACAAAGGAATGTAGCATTGTGCGAAGCTTCAGCTTTGATTGACAGGTGACATTGACTGCAGTTTCTACTATAGTGTTAGAATGAGTAGAATGGACTTTCCTTATTGATACTCTGGCTTAAATTGCAAATATCCCTAAAACAGTAATTACATGTACTTAAGCCTGTGTCCACCTACAACACAAATTGTTAAAATGCTTGTTTGGGTGAAGAAGGGATGGAAGGAGGGAGGCTGGGGTAAGAGAAGTCCTCAGATCTAATCTCTGTCCACTGACATCACAAATAAGGATTTGCTAAACCCTTTCCCGAAGCAGAAATTGTCCAATCATAGCTTAGCGACCGTAACTAGGAATGGCAGACCTGTCAAGCTTTGCATTTCTCCACACGTTGAAACGATGTGCATGTAGAGTGTTACCCAGCATTTAAATAGTTTGGTGGCTGGTAACGTTTTTGAGCCTTTCCAAACCCCAATATAGAACAACAAATGTGCAAGGAATGGATTAAACAGTGCGTTACTAATGTAAGCTGCAATTGCTACAGTAGTAACCGAGTATTACTTCTAAGGCCAAGGTGCACATAATCAATTAACAAATTCTGTTAATCTTACCACTTTGTTATATCTCCCCACTAAGTTGAAGCCGGTCTTCAGCAGTTCTGTTCTGCTATTGGATTTGGGGAAAAACTCCAGCAACCTCAGCCTACATAACTAGAGATAGCATTACATTTGCCAACATATCGCTTTGTTCTCATTCTTAAAGCATGTTTTCTTGTTATGTTAAAAGTGTCACTTAAATATAAATAAGGTAAAACAATATGGAAGCTGTGCAGACAAACAGGAACTTAAGAACAGTGGTCATCATATTTATATTAGGACTAACTCTATACTGTAATACAATAACTATACTATGTTTCTTAATTTTTAAGTCTTCTATGTGTATCAGCAAGTGGTGAGGATGTTGGGACATTCAGCTTTAGCCTCTGTGTTATAGCACCATATCATGTAGCCATAGGGCTGTCGCGGTGAAGTAATTTCCACCACGGCAATATGTTCGGGCTCAACAGCACAGTATGCGGTATTATCGCATTTTTCATCAATGAAGTAAATTGGTGCCATATAGCAGAGTAAGAATGTCTGTATCTGTCACCTCACTGCACAGCGAACCGCTAACAGCAGCTTTATGGTCTGAGCAAGCTAGCTGTTGCGTGCTAGTCAACAACATTTCCAAGCAAACACCTTTTGTAGTTTGACCGTGTCTTTTTCAGACGTTGCTATATCATTACCTTCAGGGCATGTCTATCAAGTCAATTTTCATAGCGCGCCGGTGTGGAACAGAATGGCTGTCCACAACTAACCACTGCGCTGTAGTAACTAAATTTCCTTAGTTAGTGAGATTCAAATGAGGCTTACTGTCCACAGTTTCTCTGGACTGTGCCTCTGGGTCACAACATTAATCCAACATCGCTGAGCGTGCTTGCCACATTAGCCACACAATATGCTAACGCCAAGTTAGCTAACCTTTAAAATAAACAGTAAAACAACACAAAACACTTACAGCTTCAGAGTTTGTAGTCGGGTCATGTACAGCCCATGGCGATCCATCCTTGAACCATCCTTGAAGTTACAGAGCTTGTTACGGTTGTGGAAATTTTGAAGCACTCATTTATTAATTCAACACCCCCTGAAGTGTACAATATGAAGATTGCGGTTGTTGCAGTGCTTGCTATCCTCGTGGTAGGCTTGATCAATTTTGCGGATATCGCGACAGGCCTATGTAGCCATCATGTGAACATTGAAGTCCCTTTTTACAGGGTTTTCATTCTACAGCAAGTGAGCTGGAAACTGAAAAAAAGTCAGCCAGAGAGCATTTTCAACCAACTCCTGGAGCTAAAGTTAGGTTAACTAGTTTAGCTAACGAGCTACATCTACTAAAACAGGTGTCATTTTAGCCATAAACGTTTTCTTATTTGGTGGCTAGAAATAATAATAATAATAATAAGTATGTCCTTTACCTACCCTGAAATCAACCAATCACAAATAATTTATGGTAACTGTGCAACTCCAGTTACTTCTGAGTAAGCAAATGGCAGTTGAGTTGAATTTGAATTTATCTTAACTGTCTCATGTTTCTGCTATGCTGATTTTATGCACTGTGTTGCTTTGCTAGCATCTTTGATAAACCAAACTACATCAACAGCGACACCTCACTACCGGTCGGACTAGTTTTGCGTAAGCTTAAGCTTTCATTTTCTGTGGCCCGACAGGTTGGTTGCCAACGTTAGTAAAAGTGTTATTAATAAGAGATGACACATGGGTTTTCTACCCGGAAGTGATTGTAAACAAACATTGTGATTGGTTCTATATTATGTGCCATTCTAGAATGGAAAGCTTGACAGGCGTAGCTAAAATAACTAAGGCCCCGTGTCCACCGTTTTTTGCCAGCTGAAAACGCCTGCTGCTGTTCTGAAAACGCCTAGCTGGGAGCGCTAGGGCGCATTTTGGAGGCGCAGTGTTTTTTTTCAAGACGCTGTGGTTGCTATGATACATAATTTCCATGGAGGCGATGTGCTGCAAGTAGGGTAGCCTACTTAATTTTAGTGAATGTAAAAATGTCACCACAAAGCATGCAGTCCTACTTGCTCTGGCCCTTGCTCTGCATGAAGAGAAGGCTGAAACATGTGAGCACAGTACGCGGGATCATGAGATTATGCGGGCGAGGAAACACCTCTGCAAGGAGGCACATCGTTTCGTTCAAGATCAGATGTGCTCGGTGTGGTGTTTGTCCCGCCCCTCCTGCACTGTGATTGGACGGCTGGGTAAAAAGTGACAGTGACAAACGCAGCGTTTTTTCCCAAAGTTGAACATTTTTCAACTCTCGGCGACTGGAAAAAAACGCTCAGCACTCAGCGCCCAGCGCGGAAAAGACGTTCAGCGCCTCCTCACGCTCGTGGCTTTTTTACCAGCTTGAAAAAACACGGTGCTCCCATTGCAAAACGCAGTGCTCCCAAACGCTTTGGTGGGCACGGCCCTAAGGGAGGCCGAGCTTAGTGAACTGTCAGTTGAGGCGGGCCGGAGTGGGCAGCAGACTACTTTGCAGAACAATAAGGCTTTTTACCGTGTCACAGAAAAATGTTTGAATACAAATGGCATACAAATAAATGTACAGCTAAAAAAATATAATCCAGAGATAAATACATTTGCCAATGCACTGTTTTATCGAATATGCCACACACAAAAATACAATACAATACAATTTGGACCATCTGTACATTCTACTCTTGCTAACTCTATGATTTCACTCTAGCGGACTACCCATGACCGCTGGCCTTTTAGATGCCTTATTTAGTGAGCTATTGTTCTTTTCTGTTGCCCTATAGAGGCGATATTAAGAGTAAAGTGTATGTACAGGTAGTATTTATCTGTGTTCTTAAGATGACCTCACATCAACACCCTGGTTTTGTAACATCCAAGAGACCCCCTCCAATTTCACCTTCACAAAGTCATTTTGTTCTGAAAATATTATAATAAATCTTACAGCCACTGATTGAAATTGACAGAATTGTTTTATTTATCTTAGGTCAAGAGATATTTTTTGATCAAAAACAAATGCAGTTTATGGATGTGGTTAGCTTAAAATTTGATAGGCTATTTTTTTTTCATGTGCAAAATTCCAAAAAGTATGGGTACATTGCGAAAATGTCTTCCCTTTTTACAAGCTTATTCAACACTCCCACTTTAGAGATTTTAAGAATACATGGATCATACCTACACTTCAGTTTAAACTGCCAAAATCCCAGGTTTGTGTCACTATTCACTCTATCAAAGTTAGCTATGTGGATCGGTTTGCTTGAACTAAAATACAGCGTTTGTCCTCCATTCCCTACTGTATTGTAAATGTTTATGAGTGACTCTCATTCTCGAGACCTTCAGCTCTCTGTCTCTTTCTCTCCTCCTCTCTTTCTTTCTTTGGCCACCGTACAATGCTTATTTGTCCTCCTGCTAGTTTCCTCTGCGTTGCTTGTTGTAAAGGGTGTAGACATTCTAATGTCTTTCATGTTGCTGTAATAAATATGCTAATATTTCTAATTTCTCACCTGGAGCCTGCAGTGTCTTTTTCTTTCACACATTATTTTTCTTTCTGTCTCTCAGACACACACACACACACACACACACACACACACACACACACACCAGAAATACACTTATTCACTTGCACAATTACATAGTAAAATTACACTGGGACTTGCACAATATGACAATATAAAATTGAAAGTGCCTTTATATGAAAGTTTTATGAAGCCCTTGCTTAATTATTTTTTGCTGTGTAACAAAGCCTGAAGGTATCAAATTTTGTTTTGGTGAGCTTCTGACCAGTCTTGCAGAAAATCAGTGAATAGCTGGGAACTTCAAGGGTAGTCTCATTTGTCCCCGGCACTGCTTTAATGGTGATTGTGGTGGCGAAATTCCCATCACAACATTCTTGAATGGCAAAATATGGCCATCCTGCAACCACATCTTCATTATCAGTGTGTGTGTGTAGTGTGTGTGTTCCTTACTGAGAGATAATTCTGTCTCAGGAGAGGGGGAAGGTCAGTGACTTCTGGCCTTGGTTAACCCCTTAATGCACTGGCCCAGTTGCTGTCACTCTATGTTACCGCCATTACACCTCATTTAGTCCATCATATTAGGCTCCATATTCCCCTATCGCTCTCTCCCTCCATCTCTCTTTCACACACATACACAGACAGACGGCTAGACACAAAAATTCAGGGCCTGTTCTCCATTTCCTCACTATCTCCTCCTACTGCCCTCCTCTTAATCTTTCAGTTGGCCTCGTGCATCCCCATTTTTCTCCAGACAGACGGAAAGGTTGTGGCTAGTATTCTGACCTCAACTACCCCCATTATCTCCCCTCTCTTTGCTTTTTCCTCTTCACATAGCTTTCTAATTTCCCCTACCGCCAACCCAACATCCATCCAAAAGTTTTCTCCACATGCAGCCCTCTCTTTGAGGTCCATTGCCGCTTTCTGTCGCACTGCTATCACCACCGGATTTCCTTTCACGATTAAAGGCCAATCCATAACTTCGGGCTTTTGTCTCCAGGTGTCTCAACAGGGAGAATGTCATCTCACATATTTACTCTGGATAACACGGAGGCTACTGGGAGCCAACGGCTTAGGCGATTGATTCATCATGCAGCTGCTATTGGCATCATGTGAAAAGGTCAGGTGTCCCCATGGAGAATACTTTAAAAGGTCATTGGTGACTGATGAGCCTGTCATGTTTGTATCACATATATGCACAAGCACTCTGTCTCTTACTCTCTATCTCTACCTTTCTCTCTGTTCCACTTCTCTGCGCTCTCTCTCTACGACACACACACACACACACACACACACACACTCTCTCTCTCTCTGTCCCCCCCATGAGAATAGTAATTGGGCCCCTCTGTCATGTTGTCAGGTGTGGGTTTGAGTGTCCACTCATGTGCTACAGCAGACATTAAAATAACACAAGACCAAACAACTATAGATCCATGGTGACCTCTGCAGGGTCAGCCATATGTGTACATGTGAGTGTCCATAGATGTGCAAATGTTACATCTGTATGTTCATAATGCTTGTAAAACCAAAACAGATGGTCATGCGTCAGTGAGTAAGCGGTGTGAGCATCAAAAAGACAGACAAAAAGAAAGTAGATAACATCTGAACTAGAAGGAAAGATTTCATCAGTCATTGGTTAAATTTGCTGAAGTTCCTGCTTTGTCGCTCTTGATTGCATTGCATGTGTCCTCTCTAATCAAATATGGACAAGTTCAGGCAGGCTCAGTGTTTCACGGTCCACACACACATGCATACATCAGGGCTCTTCTGTCTCATGAGGTTTTAGTTTTGCTATCAAAGCGATTTCCTGTCTCAAATTTTCATCAGTAATCAAAGTTCCTGATTGAATTTGAAAAGTGAGCCCAGCTCTATAAATCACATTACATGCCTCACTCCCATCATGCCCGCTCTCATCAGCCACGGGAATGAGACGCCACCCTGGGTGTATATATGCGTCATGGTCTCTGTGTATGTGTGTTCTTGTGCATGCCGTGGAACAGGAAAATGGATGTTGACCAAGCTGTGATTTGATCTGTGCAATTTTTTGTTAGGACAGATAATACAATAAGGAAAGACGAATGGTTAAACAACGATAAAGATAACACACCTGGGTCTGATTGTATGTGGAAACTATTCTTGCCATTTTTTTTGGTGTCAATTTGATGCCAGATAGGTGGAGGTTATTATATTATTACAGTGGAAATGAGTGATAAAAACTAAGGTAATGTGAATTTGGTGAAAAAGACTTTGGTGAAATGCTTTTGTTGGCATGGATAGACTACTGAACGGGGCTACCTAGCACAGGAACAGGGGCCCAATATGAATTATGAGCCCATAAAACCACTGAATCTTTTGTGACAAATTTAGCTTTTCCACCCACTCACACACACCCTGTGAGCACCTGACACACACACACACACACACACACAGTGTTGTTAACTTAGCAACTTTTTTTAAAAGCAACTAGTGATAAATCCAGAATCTAGATGCACAACAAGACGAAGAGATGCAAAACAACTTCAAAGAGATGCAAACAATTACAAAGAGAAGCAAAATGACTACAGACTCAAACTGATAACAAAAAGAGATGCAAAACATGCCATGTCTTAATCCATCCATTGTTGTTGGCACACCTGTTTGTTTGAAGCCGTGATAAAGACTTTGAGGGTCAAAACATGTAGGCTTTTTTAATGATTTCGCCAGTATAACGGAGGCTTTTTAATATTTCCTTCCTTTTTCTCTTTCTTATATTATGGAGTGCCAGGATTGCCTTCCAGTTTATTCTGTTGTTTCCGTTTTCTAAAAGCCCACATATTTGATGTAAGGGTGAATGTAAAAAGCACCTTTTCATGCAGCAGACTCTGTAGTGATGAAACGATTTGTTCAGCCAGCATTAGATAACCAAAACACTTAATAGTGAAGAGCAGGTGCCGTTTTTAAACCAACAGCAGCCCCTGAAAGTTCTTGTTCACCTGCGAAATGTCACTGAAACAGACACAAAACAACTACAAAGAGACGTAAAAGGACTGCAAAGACATGTAAAACAACTTCAATAATCCGTCCATTGTTGTTGTCACCAAATAAGCTAAAAACTGTACTGGATACTGTATTTCCAATTACAATGTTTGACTCAAGTCAAACAGGTAACAAGAAAAAGAGAATCAGCAAGAATACTGCCTGTATTGGACAGCTGTCACCACCTAAAATCAGTAACAGATTTGGAGGAGAAAAACAGTGTTTGAGTTTGAAAAAAAGGTAAAGAAAAACTTGGGTTTGGAGGGACTGAGATAATATTGACCACATAATCCCTTACAGATGTTGAAATCACTGTTTAATGCCTGGCAGACGTGACATGCTGAACTGCTATTGGATGACTCAAGAGGGACTCTGACCAAAGACAAACTTGCTCTCGCTCAAAAGAAGATGAAAATCTAAATGTTGGGCCATGCAGCA